TGTGTGTGTGTGTGATTCCTCTCAAGGCACAGAATTGCCCTGAGGGGATAAAAGCATCTACAAACAAAGTTAAGTGCTGAGGTTCTGGAAATGAAGCGTCAATGCATAAAATGAGGTTAAAAAAGGTAACTCATTCAGTACGAGCCAATTCTAGACCCCTTTTTTTTTTACCCTTAGTCTTGGAAAAATTGAAAAAAAAAGTATCTGGGGTTGAACGTGTGGAGTGTGAAAAGACATACAAATATGTCTTTGGGAGTGAATGAGTTTTTAATTAAAAAAGAAAAAAAAAGAAAAAAAAAGCACAATAAATGTCCATGCAAGCAGCAATTATTGTGAGAGCTCTACTTTCAACATATGTACCTCTATTTGCAGTTAAGCCCAAAACAACAAAACTGACCACATTTGGCATCAAGGTAAACTTCCTTATAACGCATTTATTTATTGGGTATATTGTGACAAGAAAGACACAAAAGTGTTTGAGATCCATACATCCATTTTCTGTACAACTTGTTCTTATTAGGATCATAAGTGAGCTGCAGCCTATCCCAGCTGACTTTGGATAAGATGACGGTTACACCCGAAAAGGGTGTCCGGCCGTTCACAGGGATGTACAGAAAAACAACTGCTCGTGGCCACATTTACACCGACAAACACATTTTACTCTTCAGCTATTAAGGGAGTCATCGGAGAGAACCAAGACAAGCACGGGGAGGGAAAAAAACCTGAGCCAAAATTCAAACCCAAGACCCCTCGACTGTGAGGCAAATGTGCTAACCAATTTCGGTGTTTGTATTTTTTTAGCTTAAACAAATTAGTGTAGAATTTGTCTTATCTGCATCTATTTTAAATTTAGTTCATTGAGGTTCACTGTTACCACATGCACAAATAGTTAAGATTTACTACCAGAGATAGGCCTATATCTATATCAAAAAGACAAATCCATCTTTTAAATACAATAATGCCGAGCTTTGATTGACTCGCTCTGTCAGTGACGTACCAATTCCAAAATATAAAATGTAAACCTGACAGCGGGACTACTGTATGAGAAACGGACATGATGCTGTGCAGTCCGATACCACTGCACAGCCAGAAAAACAAACCTACTGTTAAATCAATACTTCTTTGAAGAGTGTCAAACAAAAATGAGCATTCCTATCTTTGTAATCTCTGGAAAGTTTCTGCATACCGTTCTTGCATGAGATCTAGCAACCATCAAGTCTCCCTCATGTTGTGCCCGGTTGATGCATATTAATATATCACAGGAGAAGATTTACTTCTAATATGCCTCATAGCTTGCTGTCAAAAAATGTTAATGTGTTCACACGCAGTATGAATAAGAATCAACCAAACTCAGCCAATAGTCATCATAAATTATTAATGGAACACATTTATTATTTTTTTCCCATTAATTCCAAACATCGACACTTCACAATTCAGATGGCTTGTTGGTGAAATGAGGATATCGTGACGTGTGTGGGAAGAGAGCTTCTGTCAAGTCTGCCTTATTATCCTTGCTAGCATAGCATCATAGCAACAGCATTGTGTTCAACAGCAGGAGCTCACTGAAGCACTGGCCTCATTCCAGATGCTTCTGCTTTGTTTGAGCAGACACAATACTGCTGTCAGAGAATCTCCTTTCCGACTAGCAATTAGTGATTGAAGCAAAGGAAAAATGTCACAATTTCATTGCAGTCTGATGAACGTGGTCTCCTTGAGGAAACGTCAGTCTGGTTTTGTCTTATAATTTCACTCCAATGTGTGCTGACAGTGACGAGCCCATCAATTTAGGGGAGTATGTGTGTGCATTGTGGTAAACACATAAACATGGGGGTCGGTGGGGAGGGGGGATAAAAACAGGCCCCTTCAAGGTTTTAGTGAAGGGAAGGCCCACTCCACCGAGGGCTGATAATGAAAAGAGTAGAAAAACAGTGGACAGAATTGACTCCCTCAGCAGGAACCGAGACCGCTTACACGAGCGGTTCCAAACACTCCGACCAAGGACCCTGAGGGGTACTTGAAAGTGTCTCACTTTTTCCTTTTTGGTATGCAAATGACTCATATGCACGATGAAAGAATCTGAGTTAATCCGAGGCTCTGCTGACAGACATCGTGAACACAAATTTCACAAGGATGAGTGACTTGAGTATGAACAAGTCGATGCTTACAGGGAAAACAACCACAATAGAAAATCAATCGGCACCTTAAGTGCACGCTATTTACATGCATAAGAGGGGGAAGGAAATGAGCTGGGTTCAAGTCATCCTCATACGCGGACAAGTATGATACCGAGCCCACCTTCTATTTGTTTATTGGACAAGAGATGGCAACAAGAGGTGTCAGCATGATTGCATTGCAACCACAGTATTCCCTGTACTCAAAATGGACACGTTTCCAGTATTGCAAATATTACCCAACACAAACTCAATATTACGAAGGACATTTCCTTCCCCAAAATACTGTATTTTTGTTTCGGATCAGCAGTTGAGCACCGTTCCGCTCACCCCGTGGGTTATCAACCTCTGACATAATTTTGCCCCTTTTCCACAACACCAAATGGGCTCAACATGGCTCTTCGCATCACCGCTATTCCACAGTCAAAAGAAGGTGCAATTATTACTTGTGTGTGGGGTTAATCTGTCCCAGACTAGCATTCAAAATGCATACAAGAAACCGTTATGACCGATTGTAAAATGCGATTGGCGGGTTGGTCTGCACCATAAAACACAGTGTGGGCCCTAAGGGTTGTGTTTGGCATTTGTCAGTAAAGTGGAAAGAGATGCAATCTAGAGGGTCTGACCTCTTCTTAGTCAGACTGATGAAGAGGAGGTCCTACAGATTGATGGTCGCAATGATCTGGAGTAATTTGTGCCCCAACAAATTATTTAGCCTGCAATTCTCATGTGTGTGAAAGATGGTTTATTTTGTTCAGAATATTGTGGAGACAGTCCAGGGACCAATACTAAATATGAGAAATGAGGCACCGGAGAAACTACTGGCTGAGGTCAGCGCTATCTGAATATGGCTGTGGGGAAGGTCATGACCGGGGGCAACTACTTCTTAATTGGCGCAGTCATAACAAGGTAGTTGCTGTGAACGGCTTTCAGCGTAGATGGAATTAGTTTCATACAAGGTCCTCACCTGGTGGCCAAAGGAAGAAAACAGAACCTTGTGCGAATTCATCAAGACATAAAGTCGGCAAGCAAATTGTTACAGATTGCACAGGCAGGTCATTAAAGTGTGGGGACACCAAATCTCTTGACCAGCTCATTGCGTACATTAGTGGAAAAAGATGACTACAAGTGAGCACTGCCATCACACATAATGTCAAGCTGCTTTTTGAAGCCGATACGATCAAAGGATGGATGGACAGAATATGACAAGCGACTCTTTGGCTCAGACACATTATGGCAACCTCTGAAGGAATAACTTCCCGAGGCACTTGAAACAGCTCAAAATCAAAGTAGCCATAAAGAAAAATAAAGGTTGGAAAAACAGCTTAGCAAGATCCTTGAAAAATTGATAAAAGCAGAAGTAGACACTGTATTGCAAGGAGCAAAGATGATCAGAGATGATCACTCTACCCAGAAAAGATAGTTACCGGGATCACAGAACTGCTGCAACAAATTTACCATCAATTTGCTCTCTCCTACTTATGAAGGGCTGATGGAAGACAAAGGTAGAAGATTATCACAATGCATCATGCCACAAATTTCTAGGAAACAAATCGGGTTCGTTACTGGGAAAGAAACAGCCTGTGCTATCATCACCAAATGTAACCTCACTGAGAAAACTGCGAAAAACAGCCAGCTCAAAGAAGCTGTGGCTTTTTGTTGATACAAAATATGATACAGTCAACTATGATGTCCTAAACTCTCACAGATGTTGGCACTCTGAAACACCTGCTATGGCTATTGGAGCAATTCAACTGTATTTGGAAACAAAGGCAATTTTTCAGGAGCAGCCCCCCCAAAAAAAAAAAAAAAAAACCACACACGGGCCAGTAACCGCATAAGAAGCTC